CTATTTTCGTGTCCTAATTAGGCCAGTACAGTAAGGAGACTCAATTACTCCTCCCCTATATATCCTTGAACAAAGATTGCCTTCGAAATTATATTTTGTTTTCTCTGACCTGAATACAATTCGCCTAATCTACGGACCGAACCCATCGAATTATTTATCTTTACAATCACTACTTGGCTCAACTAGAATACTGGATTCTAACTGGATTGAAATCAAAGATTTTTCTCTCCACAAATTATCGAAATATGAAACAAGAATTAGTCCAGCCACTAGAAGTAAAAGAACATTATCTAATCTTTAGTCCGTGATTTTGATGAAACAAACAGATTATCGCCCCGGAGTACGTGTTTGCGAGTCCCATCATCACTGCCTGACATTTTCCGTTTATATGTTTAATGGCAGCCTGTTTGATTGACCACATCTCCCTCATGTTACTAATCGGTACCAGGTATGAAACATCACAATCTACCACGACTGTAAAGACCACACATTTACATCGCCCAAACCTTTTTCCATTCACATCTTTAAAAACAGTTTGAAACATTAATCAAGTAAAACCATCTGTTTTTGCACAGTTTGATAGGTCGACAAACACGGCAATCTTTGAATAGGGATTGGCGGCGTGACCTGCATACAGCCGTAAACATGTTTCAGATCAGTTGTACAACGTCAGCAAAAAATACCTTATTTGAATACCCAGTGACACAAACCTCGTCAGAAACAGACACAGATATGAACATTTATTGAACAAATGATTTCCTTCTCACACCTAATTTGGTGATATTGGCATTCAGAATATTTTTATTTCTCTGTTCTCCAGTGAATTTTCTAGACTGATAGACTCCGCTGCTATCACCCTTTATTTCCAGGTTCCCGAAGTGGCCCAAGAATTGCGCAAGTTGGATCAGCTGTGCAAACAAGGTTATGAGGTGGAGAAGATTGTGCAAGTAATATTTGATGTGTGCAGTTAAATGGTTGCGTTGTCACGACACATCCATAATGATTGGCTAACTGATTGAACCGCTTTTCGCTCAGAGAAACGATTGCTCTTTGCAGATTAACAATAAAAGGTTTTTACAGTGCTACTTTTGTTTTACAACATTCTTCATGATGCCGAAAACGATATCACTCGAAATCCCATTTGACAGATGAAACGTAAAATTAATCATAAAATACGGAAGTGGAAATGAAACGCGGGTTACGGAAAGCAAGCGTTTATTTGACGTCACTTAATCCCTTAGTAAAACATTGTCACTTAACTGCATTGCAATGACAGCTGAAAAATAACCGTTAGCATTAGTGGAATGAATTTCTAAACATAAAATATGCATTGACATTCTCATCATTTGACACAACTTAACAACCTTTTTGTGATTTTCTAGGACTTCTTATGGTTCACGACTGTTTATCATAATGCTGAATGATGTTATGTGAAAACTCCTTTTATAGGATCAAAATCTTTAGCGAATGTTTGTGGTCATAGAGGTCCAAAGGGTAACATCTTCGTCTGGTTTCCCATTTACGAGCAAGTAATCAACTTAGTATCGGAAACCTTAAATGAATTCAACGAACATAACAGAACTTTAGAAAGCGTATCAAAAAACCCGCTCCAGGAAAATCAAATGTATTTCGTATATGTGTGATGTGACTTCAAAAAAGCCAGCCTGCCGAGCTGGAGAACGAGAGAAACCTGTTCACAAACCCTGTCCATCTCATTGATGAGCCATTAACCGCATAACAAAAAAAACGAGAAATATTCGAAATGGTAACAAAACCTAGTGATCGATGGGAAACAGTATCAGTGATATCTATTACCTCAATTTACACCCCAAATCCATTGATATCTGTGGGGTCTAAGTAATGGAGAATCCAACATGAAGAACATTTTGACTCCTTCTCTCAAGTAGTATTAACCGCTATAGGCACTATTGGGAAATAGCGCTTCTATGTAGCCACCCGATAACCCTAATCGTACGGGTTTATCCATTGTATTCCTAACCGATTCACGACAATGTTTCCCTCTAGGTAATCACGGCCTCTTCCATCTGTTTCAAAAGGCTACTTAGTCAAAGAGGTCCTCTTATTTCTGGCACTTTTAACATTCATTTTCCTGATCAATCGATCAACCTGTGTCTAGTAGCTGCTCGAGAAAAATCAATCCAAATTATTATCTTACAGGTGATTGCGTTGGTGCGTGAGTGAACTCTATGGATAAATGCACTAGCCGTAACTCTGTAATCGATTACAAACTCGACTGCCGTCTTGTTCGGTTCTATGTCTAAGCATCTAAGCATCAGTGTGTCGTATCATAGCCACTGGTTAACTCTGTTAACTGGACTTACTCGCCGGTCCCCAGAGAATGTTACTGCCGTCCGTGTTCTACTGATCAACCAGATGCACCAGCGCGTAGATGAAGCTGGTGCACTTTGTGCTTATGTGTATATGCCTCAGATATAGATTCAAGTCGCCCAGCAAAATACCTGTATTCTTAAACTACTCATTTTATTTAAAAAGATCAAGAATAAGCATTGTCATAGGACGGGTTGAATTCAACTGTTTCACATTATCTCTTCAACTGTGTACAAAATATTCATGTGAAAGTCCGACTAGGACAATGACAAATCTTTAAGCATCAAAAACACACGACTAGGCGAAATCAGTGCGAAGGTCAAAGGTCACCAGTCACAGTCGGGTTGAACAGAGAAATAGGGTGGGAGATCATGCTTTTCGATCGGAATCAAGGTGACAACCCTACCATGGGAGGGTTAGGCTGGTCACAACATCTAATTGTTTGCAGATGCCTGGTTTGTGACGCCGAACGGCTGCGGCCTCAGCAAACCGCAACAATCTCCCAGTTTTTCTGGGTTAACATTCGGAATGCTTGCTTTGGATCGATGTAAAATTTACAGTTTAATATATGGCGGACAATAGCGCTGGAAGGGATCTTCGAACCGTTGAGCGCTAAATTTCTCGGGACGTGTTCTGAATTCCGAGTGGCCAAGCGTCTCTCAGCTCTTCCGATATACTTGCTACCGCAAGTGCATTGCAATAGGTAAATACACGAGGAGGTAACTTGAGAGTTCAGCTTGTCTAAGTTGGATTCAGTGATCATTCCTCTGCTCATTTTATATTGAGCACCGAAACTAAGATTTCGGCTAAGGCCTTATGATAATACGAATATTTTGGTGATCCGGAAAGTGTGATGTTCCAGCACTCAAGGTCATGTCCTTGCATTTGTGATCACGAGTCGCCACTGTGCGCTTTTTCGCATCAACATGGTGGGCAAAGAACGAAGTGGTCACATCAGTACTACGTGATCAGTCCGGCTTTGTAATATTTGCGTGCCGCCGTCACTAGCGGCATGCGCCAAGGATCCAAAGAATAGTCAATTACACCGAGTCGTGATCTAAGCTATGCAGGATTGTGCGCGTGTGTACATACGCACGCGTGTGTGTATAAACCAGGTAACATTTATTTTGCTCATGGTCAAAATTATGGGAAAGATGTGTTTCACTCAGCTCAAAAACATTTCCTCACTAATAGTGACACGTATGATTGTCTGAATAAGCAACAAAATGATAATAATAAATATCCATGACGATAAATATTAATAATAATAATGATGATAACAATGCAAGATAATTAACACAATTCAGTTCAAAACAAATAAACATGTGGTCTAATTTTTGTTGTCGCACCTGCTTTGTCCCACGTTACGTTAGTAGGTTAGTACTTAGTTCCACATTCAAAGACGTATTTGCACCAGTAATTCGTTGTATTTGATACGAGCGCCAAAATTGTCATTAAAGAATTTGTAATATTTTTATTAGTGTTTAACAAATAAGGAATGTTTTCCCTCAACCAATCTTCATTTGGGCAGAGTAAACATATCAATGCTGCGTCAGATTTCTGTCTATAATGGTTCAAATCCCTTACGCCTTAACTAAAAAAGAAATGAAAAAGGAACCTGTGGGTTGCACAAATCAAGGAATACTTATTTTTGAGTAAACGCAACTGGAAATCTATCCGCATTTGTTTTATTTACTGTTTACATTCGGTTCAAAGTGCCGAGTTACGTTCTAGAGATTTTGTATTTGATGCCTCGTATTTATTATAACATTGCAAGCATGCAAGACCAGGAAGAATGTTGTCTTCATGAAATGTTCCCAATGGTGCACTGTATTTAGGAGATATGTGTTTAAGCTCTCGCGTCAGATCAGCCGCACAATCTCTTATCCCAATGGAGGAAGTATTGCCTTTTGATCAATTATTTCTCGACATTATAAAGTTCTTTAACCACAATGGGTTTTGAGACCAAC